GGAACACTGTTGCAAATGAGAAACAAAAGACGTAGTCTACATCTTTTGTTTCTCATTCTAGAGATATACCATTTAGTTTACATATCCATCACTTTTCCCTAAGAAAAGTAAACGATTTATTCATATGTATTTTAGGAAATGGTAAATGATATATTTTTTTTATTATTTGGATCTCTTCTACCATAAATTTAGGAGATATGTATGACTTTTGTACTAAATTTTCTTCAGTAAATTAAATAAATCATTTAATTTTCGTAGAAAAAATAAAGGTAAAGTGGTCTAGATTCATGGATACAACGATCACTATATCAAAGTTAATAAAGCACATTTGCTTTCGGCAATGAGAATACATACGCACGTGTAAGCATACATAATTTTCTATATGAACTAATGAGATCTTCTTCTGTCAGCAGAGCTGGACATTTTTCATATAATGATATCATACCCTAAAAATAGAAATGTAAAAGAAAAATATCATCTTTTTCTGTAGAAAAAAAACTAGACGAATAATATACTTACTTGATAGGCAAATGTTTGATTTTCATCGAGTTCAAGCGCTTTAAATAGTGCACATTGGGCTTGATTAAATTGTTTTAATTCTTGTGCACAAGCAGCAATCATTACCCAAGCCATATAATTTTTTTTATCTTGTACTATGATATTCTGTAACAATAGAATTTATAGATATCGGAAGAAATGGAATATAGAATAAACACATACTTCGCATAATTTTAAAGCAGCTGCATGATCTTTTCGATTAATTAGTTCTCGAGCTTGTTTCAATTGTAATTTTATTTCTTTTGAATCGACAGACGTTGCCATATTTATTAAATATAAGAAAATTATAAATATCTGCAAGAAAAATAAGTATTATGTAGAAATATTCAGAAGTAGAACAGACACATTTTACATTCATTCCTGAACTTGAAAATCTGCTCTTATAAACTATTTCAGAAATAAAACTCGAAGACATCATTACAAGAACACAAAGCACAACAAAAATGAGTACTTTATTTACAAAAACAATCAATACCGATAATAATAATAATAATAAATAGAAGAAGAAAATAAAAGTCAAGTTTTCGAATTATTTTGTAATCGTCCAGCTTGTTCATGTAATTTTTTATCAAATAATCGTCGTCGATCAACAAAACCTAATTTTGTTTTAAAAAAACTATTTGGACCAGCACTCGTCTGGGTATCTCTAAATTTAAACATAATATTAGAAATTAAACATCAATAATTGACAAAATATGAACATACTTTCCAAGATTTCTCATACGTATTCGTGCTTCTGTCGGCATTAATTCCGTCTCTTCCTACAAAACCTTTGTTGTATGTATATCAGAATAAATGAGTAGTTAGTTATCTCGTTACCTCTTCATCTTCTTGACTGAAAAGAGGTGATAATAATTTTTTTGACGGTTGTTGTATAGAAGAAGAATTATCCGGTTTCTAAGATATATTGAAACATTTTTATTGTAGAAACACAAAGAATACGTTAAATAATAACCTTTGCAGTTGTATTTAGTTTGATCTGAATTCCACACGCTGGTTTACGTTTATGAGGCAGATCAAGAGTTTCATTTACTGATAAACGTCGCTTCTTGGAATTTGTTTCTTGTTTGTCAAAATTTTTATCTACATTATTGAGCTCAGTATCATCTTTCACCGGTGATGTTGTTACTAAAACTAAAAATTGAGTTTTAGAATTGAGAATTTTTTGTTAACATTAGCATCAAAAGTACGATTCTATCTAATAGATATAACAACAAATGTCCATCACGTGCAATCACTACTTCGATACTAGTAAACGTTTATTTTTTGTTCATTTTTATCTTTTCCTTTCCTTTTAAACTATCAAAATTAAACAATATTGTTATAAAAATACTTTACCATTTGATGATTGTAATTTTTGACTAATTGACATTATCTGTTCGAATATCTAGAGGTTACATTCCGAAATTGGATTATATCTAGACTATAGAGTCGGTTAATCTGAAATATGTACTTAAATAGAATTCGGAAGAAAAAGAAAAAACCTCGAAAATATGAAATGACGTTTATTGAGCACCAGTAAATATGTCAAAATTTTTGAGAAATATAAGAAATGAGATCTAAAATCTGAGCAAAAACACACTCATCAAGTTATTTCACTTCAAGAAAATAATACAGATGACTAGAATATAATTTAAACATTGTAAGTATTTACTGCAATATATTGCTTACTAACCATTTCAAAAAAAATGTTGGGATGTTTTTTAAATAACGTTTGATAGAGATTCACGATTTTCTATGTTCAAAAGTAGACACTGATGAGGGGTCGATGTATGCAGAAACAGATGTTCTAACATCATCTGTAGATGGTATACTGGATAGATCTTGAAAAAATCAAATCATCAGACCTCAGTAGATTTTGATTTCCAAATATAAGTTCCACCCACCAGACTGTTATCTCCAACTTTATACAAGTTTCAACCTGCAGCACCTCCCGTTCAAGCGTTATACGGGATTTTATAACTTTAAAGTATACCTCATTTTATCTGCTATATTTAATTCTGTACTTAAGATCATAAAAAAATGTCTTTTACTTTCGAAGTTTTCTAGAGAACCATCTCAGAGATCAAAGTATTTTTTGTGGAATTTTAAGATGTTTACTGAACTTATGTTACAGTGTAGGAGTATATAGTGACATTCTAAAGCAGTGTAGATCGATTCCGACTGAGTTTGAAAGTCTTTTGCTAAATGCATCCATATTGTTGTTTGTTACACTCAAGCGTCAAAAAAAAAATCTAGTATCGCCCGATTCATCTAGATTACTCGATTGCAACTATTGTGTAGCGACAGTGGAAATCTAGTAATCGGGCGATTACTAGATTTTTTCTAGTTGCAACTATCGATTTATCGTCCGATAATCGATCGATTTAACTATTGCTAGTTGTACATGCAGACGCATCTAGTTAAAAGTCCCTTTTCCAACTAGTAATCTAGATGGCAACTAGTCGTGTATCGTCCGATTATAGACGAAATGTATCTAGATTTTTCGCATAGGTGATGTTTGCCTGGGCAGGTGTTATGCATACAATCATGAGTTATCACTATCTACAGACGAACCATGCACATCGTTCATAGTTTTTAACCAGCGAAAGTCCAAAGAGCAACATAATACTTTGTATTTATTTCCTGTCTGGCGAGTGTTAAGATAAATATAACTACCTACTTTAGTGAAGTAGGTTTACTGCAAGAAGTCGAAATATCATGGTATTTCATCGTTTTTGCTACGTTTGTACACAAACGGCACAAAAGCTATCGTAAAAATTTAATGTTAATTGCAGATGCAAGAGAGTGAAAAAAAGACATTAATAGAGAGTCTACTAGAACCGTTATTAGGAACCAAAATTTGCAAAATCTTTTAAAGTTTCTTGAAATGATTTTTCTAACTAGTAGTAGCGAAGTCTTTCACATTCTGTGGGCAGATAGTTGTCGTGAATGATCAAATTTTGTATTGCACTACATTGAAGTTTAAAAGGAGGACTATAACGTGCATTTTAAGAATCACAAACAAGTTAAAGACTTTTTCCAATTTGTATCATTACGGTACGAAAAAGACACGACTGTGCCATTTCAAAACCAAACCACAGACAGATTTAAAATGTGTCTTGCATTAGGGAAATTAATCAATTCACAATTCTCTGATTAAACTGTTGGGAAATGCTGCTACTTTAATGGCTGTATAGTTTTTGGAAGGATTTCCTTAAAAGTAAGACTGAGTATTTGCTCTAAGCAGGCTGTTATAGTCAAGAAATCGAGTGACTTGAAGATGAACGTTATTTATTCATATTAAAGATTACAGCCAATGCTGGGCGATGAAAGAGAAATAATTCGTCGCTATTCATTTACACACTGATGCGCTCAAACAGTCACCAAAGATGACGCCATTAGATGTATTTATATTTAGTTATATTTTATATATAATCAAAGTTCACCTCACGCTGCAATTGAAGACTTTATAAACACACGACGGATGTATCATAAAAAAAAATTAAACAGCTAGAAGCAGTTCTAAATCTTCTGAATGATAGCGGGAGACGGTAGGATCTTCGATAACTTATTTTTCTTTCTTTACAATCCTCTTGTGACTATTTATATTTATATATTAGAGCTAAAACCATATTTTGATAGAATATTTTCAGATATGTTTAAGAAACCGTAACAACATTCTTACTTGAACACGTTAAGTATACTTTTCAGGGCTGTGCACCGAGTAATTCCTTCCTCAAAGAAGCTCAAATGAGACTTATTGAATAGACCTATTGTATGTGAATGCGAGATGATGATAAGAGCTGGTGATATGAAGAGCTAATACTTCCCACGCTGTCTCTATTTTTCGATTAACAAGAGATTTTACCGATTGTTCCAATAACTATTAAGCAGAAAACAAATGTTTCTTGATCATTCTTTTATCTATTATTGCTGCGACACATTGAAACAAAAAAAAATTATCCCTATTCTGTGAATGTATGGCATTTTCATGAACATTACGTATAGATATATATAAAAATCAAAAGAACTAGACATATCAATATCAACAAAAAAAACAAATAAAAACAGAAAAACAAATTTGAAGAACAGTTTTGAAACCTATAGTACTTGCTTACAAAATAATGAAAACATAAAAAGATGCCTGGTTAAAGTCTTTTTGTTTACGGATGAAAGAGAAGCTAAACAGTTCACTAAGACGAAAATATAACAAAGTAAAAACTTTTATGAGAAGAAAAAGTTTTCCACATATAAAGATTGATTGAAGAGAATGAATAACGAGACAAAGGTGGAATGAGTACTTTCAAAGAATTACAATAACACTGTTAACCAAGTATGCAGGTAAGAGAAAGAAAATTACACGTTCGCGTTGAATGATTTGTTCTACTCATGTGTTCACACGTTCGAATTTAAAGTTCACCTCCAGATTTGCCTTTTTTCTTTCCATTACTATCATAACCGGTTAATGAACTTTCTTTGGCAAGATATTTGATAAAGTCATCAACTTCACGAGCACCCTAAAATAGTAGATAATACATTATTTAATGCAAGAATACAACATAAAATTTGATGATAGTATACTTCATATCGTTTTGGGCTATTTTTCGCGTTCTTTGGTGCAAAATATATTGTTGGAAAACTAAAATATGAAGAAGTTTACGATGAAGATCTGATAACCCGCAGCATATAAACCGAAAGAGAAAACATTTTGAAATACATAAAAAATTTGTCGAGTTCGAAAATGTAGCATAACTCGTAGTCAAATGTTTATTAGGCGGGACTGTAGTTGCTCCCTCTGTGGTTCTATTACCTAGTTTAGCGGTTGATATAGACGGACGCAGTTGAGTGAGAGATAATGATTGAACAAAAAGAAGCCAGGCACAAAAGAGCACTACATAATTGATGTAATTCAAGTTCAATCGGTTATTTGAATTTTGAATTCAAATGCACAGAATTTACTTTTAGAATAAATTGTCCAAAGTAAACTCTAAGGTGCAGTTGCTCCCATTCTATGTCTGCTACAGTGTGTTCTACATCCACTGCTCAACCTATATCAGTGACCGACTAACACCTGTATTTTCTGTGATAGAGAGACAAGTGTGATATGGACCGAGAGTGATACAAGCAGTATCAAAAAGATGGAATAAGAGTAGCAGTACATGCTTTCTCACTGAGAGACTATACTCATAGAACAGAAAAACTATCTATATTTTGGTTGACTTTGACGTAACTCAATGGCAAAACTGGAACAATGTTTGTTAAAACATTTTTAAGCTATCGCCTATTTCACGCCGAATAATCTAAATCATGGAAGAATGTATCAATTACTAACAACTACACAGCTGATCCGCTGTGGTAAATTTTTGTTTTCCCTTCTCTCTATGTATCGATGGACACCATAAGAGACTTTTCTAAACTGTCTCATTGGCATAATCTCGCCAATTTCTCTTTTCAAGTGTTTGGATAAAAATACATGCAAGTATAAAACGTGTTAATCAGCATACCCTTTCACATCATATGGACTTGGAACATCATTCGCTGTTGCGTCCATTTTTGCAATAACAACATTTGATTCTTTTTTCAATTTTTTAGCTAATTCATTATATTTAGGTTCCAGCGTTCTACAAATAACAAAAACAGCGGAATAAAATTATTTTGACAAAGAAACTTTGCGTGAACATACTTGCAGTGTCCTAAAATATTCAAAAAGAAAAATAGCATCAATTATGAAGTAAGGTCAATAAGAGATTGAACGAAAAATACTCGATTAGTAATTTTCAGTCCAAAGAATAATCGTATAATAAATAAATAACTTACCGCACCTAAAATAAGAGAAAAATTTCAAATATACAACTTAACAACAAAAATCGTTAACTTAGTCTTTCAATCTTACCAAGGAGCATAAAATTCAATCAGAACATCTTTTGTTTCATCATTAACAATTTCATTAAAATTTTTAGCAACGACAACTTTAACATCAGTGGTTTGTTCTGGCACTGGTTCAGATTTCAAATATTGTTCCGCAGTACCCGAAGCGACTTTGCGTGCAAATTCTTCCAACACATCATAGCTAAAAAGAAACTCATTCATTTGGGAAACAAAAATGTACTTCAACAAACCCGAAATCTTCTGGCATCTTGTATTTTTCATTATTTGGACCGCGAGCAAGAACGTATTTTTGATCTTTTCCCACATTATCAATGCCAAATTCTGTTAATTCCTGTCGAAATTCATCGGCATTACTAACAGCAAATCGTACATTGACATTTTCATCAGCCAATTTTTTCGCAACTTTCAATATACGATTACGAATATAATTCGTGCCTACAAAAAGAAGAAATTAATGACTTTTTGAATAAGCATTCTAATATTAATTACCTTTTGTATCTCGAACATAGTCAACATTATAATAGACAGTCACATAGGGTTTTTTGTAATCGTCTCGGTTTGATGATGTACGATGACCAACAAGACCGTGACTAGAAACAAAAGGATATTTGATTTTGTTTTACAAGCTAATCATAATGAAACATACACTTTATTTTGAATAAACGTTTTTATTGAATCTCCAACACCTTCAACAACAGAGAAAGCATTCTCCAATTTAGATTGAAGACGTTGTGGTTGATGGACAACAATGTTACTAGAAAAAAGAAATAAAAAATATGAAATAAAGAGATTATACAGAAAAGAAATAAGTACTACGAAGTAAATCACCTTCCAGAAAACAGTGTGTTTTATTAATGAAGTTAATCTTGACGGTCGTTCACAACGTTCACCAATGTGTACAGTAAAAGGCATACTCACTTTTTGTGACCAGCTTTTTCTAAAATATCTTTAGCTGTTGTGTAAGCAAAACGAAATTTTTCGGATAATTGATCAGCAGTTTTAAGTAAATCTTTTTTCAAATTGTGAGTTTCAGATTCAAAATAACCTGTAAAAAAAAGAGAACAATACATTTTTACAACGTTGCTATGTGTTAGTAAAAACTTTCAAATATATACCGATAATACTGTGATCATTATGACTCAAGAATTTCTCATAATCTTCCAATGTTTCTAATACTTTGTATGATGGGCCAGCTTTGGCGCGCATCGTTGAAACGATACCATCTGAAGATATTAAAGCAATTGATCTGTAAGTAGTGTACAAACAGCCATGTACTTTCAACCTACCAGTTTCTCTTGGGCCATTATATTCTTCAGCAAATTCACCATTTTTGAATATTTTCAATGTTGGATAGCCAGTCACACTAAATTTACCACAAACTTTTGTTTCTGCTGTGCAATCGACCTAAATAATATGAAAATGTTGTATAAACAGGAATCGAGCACAAATTTCAATTTCCTCACTTTGGCCAAAGCAATTGGTGGATCATTTTTCACCAATTTTGTTGCTGCTTCTTCATATCGAGGCATTAGACTTTTACAATGACCACCTATTCAAGAGATTCATATAAAAATCATAGTGATTACTTCCAAAATCAGACAACAAATTGATAAAAATCACAAATACTTACACCATGGTGCATAAAATTCTACTAAGATAATATCATGTTCTTTAATTTTTGTGTCAAAATTACTGTCTGTAAAGACGAGAACATCGCTAGCTATTGTGAACGATACTAGAGCCAAAATAGGTAAAACGATCTTGTACATAATTGCGGACGATTTTTTGGCTTTGATCTAGAAAAATATATCAGATCAACTACTCTAATGGTACTAAAAATAAAGACAGAATTGTGCCAAATTTATAAATATTTTGCACCAGATACAACTACAAAATAATAGCATCAATTTTACATCAAACAAAAATGCCAAATCTGTCGCACACACGCATCAACGCAGTCCAAATCCAAAGTTGTTGGCTAATACGGATTGGTTGACAGTAAAGAAAACTAATTCAGCTTTTATCGATAAAATTAGTAAAAGGCTTGATTAATTTTATCAGCTGTCTTTCTATAAGATTTATAATAAAAATATAAGTCGAATACTTGGATGATATTTTTTCTGTATATATAGAGTTTATGAATCAAAAATTGATTGACAGAAAACTCACTAATCATATGGTACAAGATACTACGATCAGCTGAGTTACAGCTGAATTCGAAGCAATGAGTTTATTTCACCCTAGCCGTCGAAATAAAGCAAACCGTGGTACTATATAATCATAAAATAAAGAGAAAAAGAGAAATTGTCTGATCTGATTGGTTGAGCCGTCATCGTCATCAATTAGATCATGCAATTTCTTTTTTCTATTTCTACTTTTGTCTTTATTTTACACACGACCAAATCGTCAAATTGACAACTAAAAGGAATTTCGAAAGGACTGACCGTCAATTTTAAAGATGGTAGCATAATATATATTAACTTTATTTTTGTCGTTTTCAAGAGGATAAGATATTTTTCTAGGAAAGTTCAATGATCTACTTCATAAATGTAAATTTTCAGCATAAATTCAACAGAAAAAGTTTTTCAACAGCGACATTTGAAAGATTTGAATTTCGCAGGGCTGTCCGTCCCGAAGCGGTTAGGATTGAGAGAGGTCGACAGTTCAAAATTGTACAGAACGCAAGAAAAATTTTCAGGATTTCGGGAGGTCATCCTTCTCCTTCCTTTTGCTTGCAATGGAATAAAGTTAAGTGTACTGTCAAAAGCTCCGCTCAAGGTAAAGACCATCGCATATTTATATCTTGAACTGAGATTGTGTTTGAATGTGGCTTAACAGACATATATGATCCATGTTTTTCAAAAAAGTGAGAGAAATCTGTTCACTATACATGTAGATCTTGTGCTCAAGGTTGCAGTCTAAGACTTTACTTACTCGTAGTCTTTTACTGAAGGTCACTTCAATCATAGGTTTCAAACTTCATTTTAAGTGATTTTTTTTATTCTTTACTCCTTTACTTTTGAACATGTCTGTCAGATATAGCTATACCACTATTAAACAAACTTTTCTTATATTGTTTCAGTCATTCTGTCATAATATTTATCTAGAATCCTTATATTAGCAGGTATTTGTCAGAATTTTTTTTCGCATACGCATTCGAATCCTTTATTTTGTTATAACGATCTACAATATAGTGATATATTTTATGATTTTTTCATATTTTGCAAAAGAAAAAACAATAAAAATGATTAGAAGTTGATAAACAGTAATGATAGTCATGTTTTTCGTCTTTTAAGTTCAGCTTCTATTTTGGCTGTTTTATTGGATTAAAGATTACTAATTTGTTTGTGATAAATTGTATCAAGTTCTTTATGTTTTGATGGATACAATGAGCACTTCACCTAATATCATGTGCCGTCTATTTGAATTACCATTAATCGCCAGTACTTGGGAATTTATCCAAAATAAATATCGTCAACAAAAAGAGCAATATCCTCTTCTCAAATATACATTAATAGTGCCTGAGCAAACAACGATTTTAATTAACAGACAGCTTATTCAACCAATTTATATTCGTCATCGACACAAAGGTAAGTGGTAGATTATATATTTTTTTATAAATTTATAGAGAGTGTTATCTTTGTTTTAGTTAATGATGTGGACACATTTTTATGCCATCAATTAGAAACAATCAAATGTTATTGTCCAATACTACAAGAAACAAAAGATCAAGTAGTCGGTCGCTATAGTGATTTAATCTATTCAATTAAACTGAACCAAAGTGAATATTCGGAACAATTAGATAATAGCCAAACAGCTCATTATTCATTCTCAAAATCACACAATAATATACGTAATAATTCAAAATTCATTGTTAATTTATGGAAAGAAAGTTTATCAATCATAACCAGTTTACTACTTATGTTTGAAATGTACGCACAGAATATACAAAATGAATTAGGCGATGCTCTCAATGGTTGTCAAATGTTATGGCAAAATTTAAACATGGAAGATGGCCGAGCGTTAGATGATGTTCAAGTAAGGTTATTAAATCGTCTATGATAAACTTTTTATGCAAATGAAATAGTGAATTATGATTTTACATGAGATTTCCTTTAAACAATCTGTTACTTCTGTGAATTGTAAAAAAAGCGTACTATGAAAAAGTCTATCAGCTATATTTAGCAAATATTAGACAACTTTGAATTCTCTCATTCTACACGTGTACTTATTGTGTTTTATTAGTGTATGGAAGTTTTTTGCGGGTAAGTTGAGAAGAGCACGTTTTTGTATTTCACTATCTTTGTATGCTGGGCACTTTTATGAGTAACTCGTATATTTTTTCGCTTTTTTTGCTTTTCATTCTTTTACTAAATGCCATGTCATGCTTCCAGTAGATTATCTGTTTCACTTTATTTAATCAGTATTTTTACGTATTTTAGTCATTTCAAGAAAAACTCATTTTACTCGGTCGTCGAATGATAGGAAATTATCGTGTATTCATGTATTTGATTCGAGGACACATAAAACGTGTTCGGCGAACCTCTGATCAATGTATTAAAATTCAACAATATTTTCGTCTCATATTATGGAATATTATACAAAAGGTTTGTGTACATTTCAATAATTAATTATCTAATCGTTCTTCAACGTTTGTATATTCTATATTTCAAGTCAATATTTGTTAAAATCAATATGATATTCAATAATTATGTCCGAAATTGTTTGATAACATTTAAAGAACGTGTTAATCAATGTCTTGATACAATAATGTTATATGCAACAAAAAATCCTTGGATGAGATGGACAGTAGGTTGGACACACTGGTTTAATTTAAGTAAATTTCAATGTATTATACGATTGCTTTTTCTATTAACGTTAGCCTGTTTCTGTCCAAATTCAACATTGTCATTCGAATGGTATTATCGTTGCAAAAACACAATTATCTGAAACATACAATATTAATTCACAAGTTTGTATTTAATTAATAAATTGATGTGTAAATTTTAATATTTTTTTTATCTAGACGGATCCACTGAAGGAAAATAATGAGAATACAAAAATTGAGTCAAAAGTAATAATAACATCCCTGTACGATGCCACTCAACCAATGAAAAAACCAAATAGTGAACCAGTTATTTTTTATTCAGCGAGTATCAATAGTGAAGAAGAAGACGATGATGTCGATGCCCATGATAATATTAATATAATCGATAGTCAAAATACGAATGCTGAAAGTACGCCAAAGCATGACTCATCGCTATTATATACGACCGCTTTTGATTGTGTTCCACCCCCATCAATCAAGTCTCTCGATTCATCTGAATCATCAAATATTGACAAACATATTATCGATGAAATTAATCGAAGTTTGGATGTTAGAGAAATTCTATTGAAGGTTAGTCAATTCTTCTTTTATTTCGATCTCAGTTGATCGAAGATAATGTAGTAAATTTTAAACCTATTCATTATTAAGTCACTTTATAGTACTATCACTCTCCAGGCAACGTTTTCTTGGATGCATAACTAAATTTGCGGGCTAATAACGTCTGTTTTTATTGCAGGTTGATACACAACTAAGTCAAATGAATGAAACAAATTCTACATTATACGATGAGATTGAACAAGAAGATGAGAGTATAGCGATAAAAAAAGTGTTAAAAGAATTAAATAAAACGAAAAGTTCATCGACTAATTCAACAGGATTTTCTTTGCTTAATTATTCAGCGACAATGGCGAGTGGAATCGATGTACAGAATGTTTAATATGTGGGTTAACGTTTGCTTTACGGGCATTTCTTTTTTGATCCTGCTAGTCGTCTTGTGGTTAAGTTATTGATTTTTTCTTATTCAAAATAAAATTAATTATAAAGAATAAAAGTTATGTACCAACAACAGTTGAAACGGATTTAGCTACGGTGCCGAAAATGCAAAAGTCGAGCAGAAAAATGTTTTGGATATATGATACGTGGTTGGATAGAACTCGACGAGCTGATTAAGAATATGTGCTCTTTAATTTTTTAAACCACATTTTGGGCGCAAAATCTTTAAAATACAAGTTACCCCTTAAAAAACGAAAATTTGACTAGTTTCGCGAAAACTCAAGATTTCGTCTGATTGTGCCCGTTCTATTTGGTTGAAACTATTTTATTCGGATTCGGCATAAAAAAACTAAGTACAGCTATGTATGTGCGAGCGAGTTTGATCGCAGTTCTCTCGCACAGCAAGCTCGAATAGGATCATCTAGGCACCCACTGACCCTCAGATCTGGCAAACCCATCATCTTTTTTGTGTGAAGAGCTTTGCTCAATTTTCATATATCATTCGAATGGTCAGCCCGGATCGAAGGATCGTACGAACAGATCGTACAAGATCGGATATGATCAAATACCCCAGGTGATTTTTCTGCAACATAAATCTGGAAAAATCTTTGCAGTAACTTTGCAGATTCTGCAAAGGGATTCTGCAGATTTGAAGCAGATGTGCCAAGATTTGACCAAAGATCTGATGCAGATCTGCAAAAAAATCTTTACAGTTTCTTTGCAGTTCCTTTGCAGGTTTTTTGCAGAGAAACTGCAGATTTTTA